TCTCTCTTTCTCTCTCTCTCTCTCTCTCTCCCTCTCTCTGTTCCTCTCTCACCCACAAAAACACAAATAAAATGCTTTATCCAGAGATACACCAGTGACTGTGGTGTAGAATTAAATAATTTTCCGTCGCATTGAGAAGACGTGAGTTCAATTCCCTTTGCCTGTGGTGGGGAATTTTATTTATTGCATAATATGTTCGTCTGTGTGTCAAGACTTTGCATCCCTCTTCGATTGGATTTGTCTTGAAAGGGCAGGGTCAAAGCAGCCTGCATTCTAGATTACCTAATTTGTGCCGATTGAAATAGGGGGTGGGGGTGGAGTGGAAGGGCGCTAAACATCTAAATCTACAGTTAAAAAACCCCAAAAATCTCAAAAAACGAATGCAAATTGACTATTCATCAAAATGACATTTTCAGAACAAGAAAGCCAGCATTGCCCAGATTTCACTGAACACACCTGGCTCCAAGACCGACCGTGCTATTTTGATGGAGGTCAACCTCAACTACCCCAAGCAGACATTGGACGCCGTTATGAGGACCCCTTGGAAGAAGGGCGCTCTCAGGGGTAAGATGATCAAATATTCAATATTAATGAGTGGCCTTTGCGTCTGAAAGCCTACACGTTGCACTATTCTACAAGTGAAACTGGAGCTTTTAAATGCTGAAAATGTGGTAAACTGTTTTCTACCAAAATTGGCTCCGTTGTCATCGCAAAAGCCACACGTCATCAAACTTCTAATTTTTCTAATTCGATTGAGAAATATTCTCCTCTGCAGATGCACAAATCATTGTCAGACATTTACTGATGAGCTATTAGCATTACCTTGTGCACACGGGCACTTGGCTTTTCTTTTTATTCTCTTTATTCCTATCATAACTAACTATTTGTTTCGTATGCATACCCCATCGAACTGTTATCGAATTCCATGTTGTTATGTCTGATCAACGATGACATCTTTATTCTCGACAGCTGTGACCATCAACAAGGACAACCTGAAGAGCTTTACCGGAAGTGTCGTCATCGATGACGAAGACACGTACGCCTTCACCAGCGAGGTCAAGGTCGATAAGACCAAGAACAAACTCCAGCTGAGCCCAATGATCGAGGTGAGACGTGTCGGAGCTGACAACGTTCAGGTGACTGGTTATTTGACCTTCATGACCCCATTCAAGTCGGCCGACATCGACCTGTCTCTGTCCGGACTCAGCAAGATGCCGTACAACGTGAAGAGTGAGTAACCTTTTCTTGTTTGATTACATCACATAAAAGACTAGTATCTATAATGATGATGATGATGATGATAAAAATAATAATAATAGTAATAATAATAATAATAATAATAATAATAATAGTAATAATAATAATAATAATGATGATAATAATAATATTAATGTACTGGGCCTTTCTTTTTAGTTGCTCTCTTGGCCCGCACATGGTCACTTGCTTTGCTAATGAAACTGGCCACTTCTAGGGCCTTTTGGCTTGCTTTGTGTGACTTGCACTGCAGGAAGATAATGTTCCAAAATCAGTTTATAGTTCTACGTTTATTTTAGATTGTCCCGCTTTGTAAGTGTGCATTGCCTACATGATACATATTGTAAAATATATTGCTCTGGCATTGCGCTCGGTAATGTGTTGGATTTTGCTTTCGTGTTTTAAATCTGATTTTAAAAGACAAATTCAAGTCAACGTGCAAAGCAAAATCGTAATGCACGTAATTGTTAACATTACTACAATGTTTAATACAATATTGAAAGGACTACAAAGTGCAATATAATGATTTAAAGTCAAACTGACCAAAGGAAAAAATGGAGCCTTTTCAGCTACTTTATTCTACAACGACCAGAAAAAATCTGTGGTATATTGGAACACAGAAATAATTCTAAAAATAAATAAATTAGAATACTTTTTAAAAAAATGATAAAATAAAACTACAAAATAGGCGGAGCTGTAGTATATTTGGTATCATGCTGGACTACAGAGAAGATGACCCAGAACGAATCCTCGACGAGGTTTTTATGACTTGTTTTTGTTTTTGATTTTTTGTTTTGCTTCTCTCCTACGTTTGATTCGGTCCAATAAAGATGAAAGGTACTGCCTCTTAATACATTTTTTAAAAATAGATAGCATTTGTATATTGCATTGGAAAATGATGACAGCAAGCTCTCTATCCTTTACGTTATTGGAATAATAATCTTACAATGTTGAAAAGGGCTTTAAACCTAGACACTAGCTAATGACAAACGTCAAACGACCCCCCCTCCCCATCCCATACCCTTCTATTTCTATATCTGTCCTTCACAGCTACCCTGACAAACACTAAGAAGGAAAAGAGTATTCGCGCCAGCTTCAGCCCAGATGGAAAGAACAAATACACCCTTGAAGCCAGCAACCAATTCTCTGTCATGGGCAAGAAGTCGATGATCGCTACCCTGAAGAGCATGCTCAAGGTGAACACGCCCACCAAACAGATGTTGTCCATGCAAGGATCAGCTGACTACAGGGAGGACAAGTCTTTGAAGATGGACGGCACCCTGGACGTCTACCGCCTCCTCAAGAAACCCGCCAACATCAAACGTGAGGATTATTTATTATTTTTCTGTTGAATAAGTATGCAAAATCCAATATGACCGCCGTTTCCATTGCAACCGATTCACATTACACTTTTTGAACTATTAATTTCACATCCCTAATATCACACGATGTCCCACAGCAAATTTGGGCACTCTAGGCCTTGTAATAGCCAAAATAGACCTCAGGTGCCCCACCAGCCCTTAAGCCTGTTCTTTTCAGTGATATTTTTGCTTCCAATATATATTAAATAAACATAAAATGATCCCCCTTCCCCATTTCAGAGCTTCAGAAAGGCCGCAAATACTGATCACACCAACAATAGTAACAACAACAATAGTAACAACAATAGAAACAACAACAACAACAACAACAACAACAACAACAACAACAACAACAACAACAACAACAACAACAACAACAATAATAATAATAATAATAATAATAATAATAATAATAATAATAATAATAATAATAATAATCATAAACTAAAACAACAACAACAATAGCAACAATACTTGCGTTTTATATAGCGCACATCCACAATCTGCAGCTCGCTCTATGTGTTTTCAACTATTCTAAAAAAGAAATTTGATCGGATACTATAATCAGTCCCCCCCCCCACCCCCCCCCCTTGTTTTTATCTTCCCTTTTCCAGCTTGTTCTATCATTATGTGACCCTACTTCTTTTGTGTGTTTTTGTTTATGGAGATGGGGTGGATTAAAGGTGTCTTTATATCTTTCTTTCTGCCTACATTTGCTTCCGATTCCTGCTTTTCCCTTTTTTTCAACAATCTCAGCTCCCTTTAACTAACCTGGTTCATTCCCTGCTTCCTACTAGTTGCCCTGGTGAAGAACGCCAAAAAACGAGGTGTCCGCTACGACGTCGATGCTATCCTGAAGTCATCTGTGGCCTCTGGCAAACTGGACAGTTTCACCTTCATCAAGAACTCCGGTCTCATGTCCACAAAGACTGTCCTGGGATACACCATCCCCAGAGTGGCAAAGAACAAGATCACGTTCGGTGGAAAGTTCAATGACAGGAGCACCAAGGCCTACAAGAAGTACACCATCAAGAGGTCAGTTTAGACGTGGAAGTGAAAATAGACCTCTTGTGTTTCTTGTTATTTTACTTCGTCTTTTCCTTGTCTCAACTCTGAAGCAGAGACGTTTTAAGGGATATCTCGACCTGATAGATGACAATCAATGACTTGTTTTCATAAGCTTTGTTTAAATTTATCTCTCTACGATGTACACATAGCTAGTAATTAAAAGTCTGACACTTTGACCCTCATTTGCGCAACAGACCGGTATTCAAGAGGAAAACAAACTCTGTAGTCAGCCCTTAATCCAATTATTTCTTTTTAGAAAGGTATTCTCGTTGAACTACATAATATATTGATCAAAAGAAACAAACTGTTAATGTTTTAATTGAATATTTTAAAACAGATTTTTTAAAAATCGCAAGCTTTTGGTAAGCTATTTCTCTGTTATGTACTTGCTCAAGTTTTGTTTTACTTATTTCCTTTTGTTTTAGCAACCTGGACATTGCAAAGAACCCAGAGTACAACCTGGGTCTGAACGTCGATTTGGATCATAAGAAGAAGCACAGTGAGGCTGAAGTAGAACTCAAATATGGACCCAACCCCAAGGACAAGACTAAGAGGCTTTTCTGGTCAACCTCCCTGAACAGGAAACTGGCCACCTGGAAGAACGCAATCCTCACCTTTAAAATGAACGCTCTGGCCCCAGCCAAGGTACGTCCCAGAATATCATTATCGATATCAAAACAAAATAGGAACTTTTTGGACCAGATTGTCATACATTTTGCTGTTTGTCTAACTTTGTGATATCATAACATTCCATCCATCATGGACTGATGATGACCTTTAACGTTCAAAGAGAAAAAAAGATAAGTAAAGGAAATGATATCAATGAACTTGTCATTATCACAAACGCCACGAGTCGCCGCAGATAGCGGTACTTTTTCTTTTCAAAATGATAAATTGTGAGGCAGCGTGGTGGAATCAGGCTCTCGTCAATTTTTGGGCATGTAGAGTTATTGGTATCATCTTAAAGCTTGTTCACTTGTCTTTATTTGGGTGAAAACATATCCATTTATCTTAAATGCAAGTCAAGATATTTGAGAATGAAGGGGATGGGGTCACCTGTTTTCAGAGCTAAGATTAGTGAGAAAATGGCCGCCAAAGATTAGTTATTTCCTTAGCTTAAGAGTCCGTGGTAGCTGAAATTTTACTTTTTTGTGCTTTTAGTCAACGTTTTCAGAAAAAATCCATACAGAAATGAGTTCTTTAAAGGGCATGAAAGGTGTTGAGTCAAATAACAAAAATTTGAAAAAAATTCACAAACCTGTGGAAAAATGCAAGTTTCTCCACTTTGATTATTTTGACGAGAGCCTGATTCCACCACGCTGCCTCACAATTCTTCTTTTCCCAAGCAATGGTGTAAATACTCAAATCAGCAGGTGGTGAAAAATGGGGTACTGAACCTGTTCATGAAATTTCGATTTTTGTGCTTGGTTTAAAACAGATAAAGTAAAATTGTAAAGTGGAATGAATTCCGCCCATGTTTAATGCCCCCATGTGCTCTCAATCTTCCACACAGGGAATGGACGTGAGTTTGGTGCACAAACATCAGCACACACCCAAGATGATCGACTCCAACGTCGTGCTAAATTATGGAGGAAAAGGGAAAGACCTGAGCGCTGAGCTGGTCGTCAGAGACAAGAGCTCAAAACTGTCAAAGATTAACGGCAAAGCAGTTGTTGCCTGGCCGGGCTCAGCATACACCTTGACCACTGGAGTTGACCAGAAGTCTGCCAAACAGTACGCCCATACCCTGAATCTGAGAAGTAAATCTGGAATGAAGCACACAATCACAACGCTTTACAAGACCCCCAATGGAAAAGCACACCAGTTCTCCACAAAGTTCTTGTTGAGCGGAATGAAACCAGTCACTGTTTCTGGGTCCACCAACCTTGACCCAAGAAACTTTGAGATCTCGGGAGAAGTCCAGCGAGGCAAAGAGATCTACGGGCTCAAGACAAACACCAAGATTACCAAGACCCCTACTGCGAAGGTTGAAGTTGAGCTTGTCTACCCCACAAGGCGTATGACTCTCCTCATTGATGGAGGAAAGCAAAAGAGCAAGTTTAATGGCAGAATTGAAACTGCTTGGGACGCTGACAGAGACCCAAGCCAGAAAGTTGTCGTTGATGGCTCTGGATACATGAAGTCTACTAAGAAATCAATGAGTTTGGGAGGAAGCCTCGCTCTCAACTCTCCCTTCAAGAACTACGAAGACATTATGACAGCTTTCAAATATGGCAATGATGACAGTCAACACGATCTCAGCGGCAAGTTCTCATGGGGTGGAAAGGGAAACCAGATGGTATCTAGCCTCACTGTGAAGAGACCCGTCTCCTTCAGCAACCTGCAGATGACCACAGAAACCAAAACGCCATTCAAAGGATTCCGAGTTATCTCTTGCGATATTGATCATTCTCTGTACCCGACTCTGAAGACTACCATGAAAGGAAGGTGGGACAAGGAAAATGGTAAACTGAGCATCGAAGGTCAAAATATTGGAGATTGGTATAACCGCAACATCAAAGGAACCGTTTCATTGAAATCCACTCTGAAGAATGCAGAGGACGTGACGTTCCACTTGGCTCACGCTGATAGCGCTGGACGACTTGCTTCCAACGCTGCCCTTATCCACAACGGAAAGTCGTACGGCTATGACGTGAATATGGATCACAACAGGAATGGCTGGCAAATCAGAAACACCGGAGACCTTTTGCTTACTATGCCCACCACCAAAGTCAAGTCAAGCTGGAAACACAGGAGCAGTGAGAAAGACATTAAGTCAACCATGACCTCTGAGTGGGGAAAGAACCGACTGCTTGTAAATGTGGATGCATCTCACGACCTTCTGAATGCTGGAGTTATGAATGCTGACCTCAAGATGCAGAGCCCTTGGAAATCTCTCAGGAACATTGACTTGACCCTCAGCCACAAACACGGAAACGGTGTTATCATGAACAATGCTGCCTACAAGCACAATGGAAAGATAGAGGCTTCTTCCTCCATAAAAGGCAATTTCCGCCCCTCTGAGTTTGATTTTAAGTTTGGAATAGTATCCCCATTCACTGAAGACTTCGATGGCAAGATGAACAGCAAATTCAGCTCCTACCCAATGACTGCAGCGGCTGAGCTGAGCTGGGCCCCGAGATCTAAGGCTGTGATGGAAGGTTCATTGAACATTGCCTCCTGGGATAACGCAAATGTTGATGTTAAAGTTATTACACCTTTCAGAGAGTACCGCAACATTGTCTTCAAAGCATCCAACAAGAACGAAAAAGGAGAGATTGTATCACACATGAATCTCGACTATGGAGTCCGTAAAAACATTGACATGGAAAGCAGAATGGCCTGCAATGACATGAAGAAGATGTTGAGACTGAAGATGAGAACTCCATTCCGCGAAATGCAGACTTTGGATACTGGTCTCACATTCACAGGGATGATGACACGTTTTGACGGATCCGCTGATTTTGAAATGGTTCCAGTTATTGGTAAACTCCAGGGATCCGTGAACTGGGAATATGCTAATGACGATTTGAAGGGAAATCTGCGTGTGAGCACTCCCTTCCCAGAGTACCCGTACATTGAGCTGTCAACCTCCAGTCAAATGAAAGGACGCTCCAGACAATCATCGGTCTCCGCTGAGTATTATCCCCGCCAGACCTATCGCCTCGACAGCACTTACACCCTTGAGATGCCCTACGCACTTGAGGTCACCCTCAACACTCCTTTCCCTGAGTATGACAACCTGGGACTAGCCTTCCAGCACAATCAGTCTCCATCTAGTGTGATGTCCCACGGAGAAGTGCGTTACCAGCCTGACAAGAAGATTGAAGGCGATGTGAACATGGACTGGTCCACTGTTATCGAGGGTACTCTGATGTTGAAAACTCCCTTCTACGGCTATGAATCAAACAAGGTGCTGCTCAGGCACCAAGGCGACATGGATGCTTTCAGCAGCCACGGAGAGGTAAACGTTGCCGGCAAGAGTGTTTCAGCAGACGCAAGTTTCAACAGCGGATACGCCACCACCGGCACATTCACCTTCAACAGCCCTATCCCTGGACTTGAGAGCATTGAACTTTCGATGAATAAGAAAGGCAACTCCAACAACATGAGAGGTGGTGCCACATTCAGTCTGAATGGAGACAGGTCCCAAGCCAACTTCAACCACAGGATGAGCGCCTCCACACTGAAGTCAACCGTCAGTGTCAATACCCCATACAGTGACAACTTCAAGCTCAATGTTGATCACAACGGTGACATCAACAGTTTCACTAACAAGATGTCCCTTAACTATGGCCGTCGCTACGACATTGACACCATCTTTGCCTTTGACAATAGACAGCCAGACGTCAGCGGCAATGGCATGATCAAATACAAACTTGCTGGACCAAGAAACGTTGCCCGAGTGACCTTCAGCAGAACCGGTGAGCTGGAAGACATGTCCTTCAGTGGAACTGCCAGCTACAACAGAAGAGATGTCAGTTTGAATGGCTCCTGGAAACTCCTTGGCGGAATTGAAGGCACTGTTCGCATTGCAACTCCTTTCGACAAGTTCAGAAACATTGGCGCTACTCTTTCCCACACTGGAGACGTATACAACTTCAGAACCGAATCCAACTTGAACTACATGGATAACCAAAACATCAATGGAAAAATGGAGATGTCTTCTGATGGTCTACGCAGAATCCGCTTCAACACCGAGATGGCCACTCCCTTCAGGGAAATGCAGTCAGCTAAATTGAGTGTAGAACACGACTACGACGAGTACACAATGGCTTTGACGGGAGGAGCAAAACTGACCACCACAATGGGCCGATTTGGACAGGGCAGTGTCAGTTACACCAAGTCAGGAGACTTTGAGAACTTCAGCGTTCAGCTCAACGGAAAGTATGCCAACGACGAGGCTGTTGTTACTGTGACAAAGAGAGGCTCCGTGAGCGACATGACCGTGAGCACCAGCGCCTCCTTGAACGGACAAGCTATCAGCATGGACGGTTCTCTGAAGACTCTTGGCGGATTTGACGGAATAGTACAGCTGAAGACACCGTTTAGATACTACCGCAATGTAGGAATGAAGTTGACCCACCGTGGTGAGATCAATGACTTCAACACCCAAGCTTCTGTTGACTACATGGACAACAAGAACGTTAACAGCCAGATTGAGTTTGTTGCCGATGGTATCCGAGCAATCAGACTGTCCACTGAACTGAACTCACCACGAGAACTCCTGGGAACCTCTAAGATGACCTTCAACCACGAATACGACACCTACAGGAAGAGCATCGCTACACGTGGCGAGATGAGCAGCGCTATTGGCGGATTCGGCGACGGCAATTTCCGATTCAGCAAGACCGGCGACCTTAGTGACCTGAATATGGAAGGCAAGGCCACTCACAATGGTGCCGACATGGTATATGCCAAGATTACCAACTCATTCCAGCTCCGAGCCCTTAAAACAATCATAAACTTCAAGAGCGCCATGACACCAAGTTTGGAGTTCACAGTTGACCACAACGGTGATTACCTCAACAGCAACACTAAAGCCACAGGCATGCTAGGTTCCAACAACATGATGTCCGTGGAAACTGCCATGACCAACCGAGGTGATGTGTTTGACAGCCAGGGTACTCTCATTTACAGGACCACCCAATTTGGCGCTAGCCGTGGATCTGTCAAGGTTCACAAAGAGGGCGACATTGATGACTTCAGCGTGACTGTGACTGGCGACCTCAACGGCGACAAGTCTTCGGTAACCGGAGCCTTCAAGATCAAGGACGAAATCACTGGATCAGTCAGCGTGAAGACACCCATGAGGGGATACCAAAATGTTGGAATGTCTTTCAAACACTCTGGCAACCGTGAGCGCTTCCACAGCAGCGGTGACATTACCCTGAAGGACGGAAACCGTTACTCTGCCAAACTGGACTTCTACATGTACCTGCTCAGACGCATTGAAACAACTCTTGAAGTCAGAACTCCAATTCAAGGCTACGAGTTCACCAAGCACGAGTACAGACACGAGAGCGGGCCAGACAGCTTTAAGTGCTACGAGACTCTTGAGTACGGAAACTCACAGAAAATTACATATGAGATGAAGGCTACCATGTCCCCCAACCCTGACGTGGGCATCACGCTGAAGACACCTTTCTACAGGTACGAGGACATGATGGCATCTGCTTCTCTCGTCAACAACTGGCCAACTGCTTCTGTCTCCGGAAAGGTCAATGCAGGAAACGGCAACATCTTTGTTGTAAATGGAGCTATGGACGTGAGATCGGATATGTCAGGATCCCTTACTGTCGCCACGCCTGTGAGGGGTTTCAGCGATATTGGACTCAGCTTCCAGCACTCTGGCGAACTCAGAAACTTCAACTCAGAGGGCAGAATTACATACATGGACAACAAGGACATATCTGGCAAATTGGGATTCAAACTTAACAGTGGGCGTGTCATTGCCGAACTCAAGACGCCTTTCAGCGGATACGAGCTGACCAGATACGAGTACACAGAGAAGAACAACAGGAGACAAGCCTCATCTACAAGCATCCTTACGTACGGAGCCAACCAGGTGATCAAGAGTACCACAGAGGTCGTGTACTACCCTAACTCTGAGGTAAAGGTCAATATCCAGACTCCGTTCAGGAGCTACGAAGACATGTCTTTGTCGTATCTGTTGGACACAACCGGACCAAGATACAGACTGGAGAGCAACGTGAACCTGGGCGTGGGACGCACTCTCACTTTGAATGGAGGTTTCGACTCTTCTGATGACGTGTCGGGCTACGTTGACCTGAAGACGCCTTTGAACGGTTACAGAAACCTCGGCATGAACTTCCGCCATACAGGAAATGCCCAGAAGTTCAACTGTGAAGGCAAGGTGACCTACGCTGACAGCAAGGACATCAGCGGCAAAGTAAACTTTTACAGGTACATGTGGCGACGTGTTACCGCTTCTGCTGAACTGAGCACACCTTTCTCTGGACTGGAAACCACCAAAGCTGAGGTTAAGTACGAAGACAGGTCCACCAGCATGAGTGCTTCATCCTCTCTGCAGTACGGCAATGGACAGACACTTGCAGGCAACGTCAAACTGACCTACTCTCCAAACTACGACCTCCTTGTCACGATCAACACCCCTTTCTACGAGATCAGAAATGTTCGCGCCATGGCTACCGCTGACCTGAATGCCCCAAGCTACGCAGTTACCAGCGGCCTCACATATGGCTACAACAAAGCCTTCAACGCCAACGGAAAACTGAACCTGTTCTCTGCCAACAAGCTCGACGGCTCTCTTGAAGTGAAGACGCCTATTGCTGGATTAGAATTCACAAAGGTCGACTACGAACATAAAATCGACTCCACCAGCGTAGACGGCTCTGCCTCTTTGACCTATGAGAACGGACGCAAATTGGTGAGCGCTGAGCTGCAGTCCACCATCTACCCATCATTTGACGCCAGTGTTACCCTCAAGACTCCCATCTACGGCTACAGCAGCATCCAGGGATCAGCCGCCTACGACAGCTCTTACAACAAGTACGAAACCTCCAGCTCTCTCAAGATTGAAGGACGTACTCAGTACACAATGAGCTCCGGCTTGGACTACTCCGTGGAGCCCATGAGGGTTTTCACAAAGGTCTCAACCCCGCACTCAGACTTCCGTGACGTGGAGCTCGTCTTGACTCATGAAGGTCAGCTCACAAACTTCAAGACCACTGGATTCCTGGCCTCTCCTCTCACCGACAACGTCAACGCCCAGGCCTCTCTCGACTACAAGAGCCCCTACGACATGAGCGTGGGTGCATCCATGAAGAGCTCCCTGGCTGGCATGGACGACCTCAAGTTTGAAATGAAGAACTCTGACGCTTCCGGAGAGAAGAAGATGAACACTATCGCCGGTTGGACCGACGGACACCAGGTACACACAATTCCATAGGTTTCCGCTAGTCTGATCTAGTAAATCTATTATATATTTGACAACTTGGGAACACATTTGTCACTTTTCCCATCAAACTACGACAGCTACAAAGCTGAAAATTGGCAAGTACCTGCAAGAAGATAGATAGGTCTCCAGGCATGACCGAGCCCGATTTTTGATTTATTCAATCGCTGAATTTAGACAAATATGTATGACAAAAATTTCTTTGGCCTTTGTGATAATTCCACTGAGAAACGAAACAAATCTGTGCAGCTGTCCTTCACGGTGGAAGTGCCGGAAGTGAAATTTCGAGAAGCGCATTTTGTTTTGAGAGTATAGATCTAGACCTTTTAATTTTTTGCATTTCTCAAGATTTATTGCTCCTTCCAGTAGAGTGTAAATATAGTAGGCCAATGACTTTCAGCTGATGATAATGCGCCGATCATTCCTTTCATCGGAAGGGGGCACAGTTAGTTTCTGTATAATATTAGCCAAGAAGTGTCTTATTGAAAGTTTCCTCACTTCATCTTTTAAATTGATTTGAATAGCTATATTTGCTGTCACCTATCTCCATTGCCTTTATAACGACACAAAACTTTTCTCATGGAGAGACAACTCCAGCTAAAACCTCACTCACCTTCTTTATTCAATCCCATCCCAACAAAATATTGTGTTAAAATTCCTCTAACAACCAACCTATAGCGTAAAAAAAGAGTACAAAATTCGTTCTCAAAGCCTTAATAAATATTTGACAATATAAGAAAAAAAGTTTGTCCTATAACTAATCATATTCAACATACTCCGTCTTTCGTCTCCAGATCCAAACTGATGTTGTTTTCCGCCATCAAGATGGCTGGTATGAGGATCTGATGACCGCTGACATCAGCGTGTCCACTCCATTCACCACCCTGCGTAGCCTGTCCGTACAGACTGAGAAAACGACCAAGTCGGAGGGTTATGAAGGCAAATTGGCCGTCAACATGAACGGTGCCCAACTCCTGGACATGAGTGGAGAGTACAGCAACAAGGACAAACGCGAAGCTACCGTGACCTTCACCCAGCCATGGGCTATGCAGTACACTGCTAGCGGCTTCAGCCAAGACGGAAAGATGGAGGCTGACGTTATGGCAAACTGGAACAGGTAAAGAACACTTTTCAAAAATTCTGCTTCCACTGGAATACGGTGATATATTTATCTAGATATAACTTTAAACTCTAAAACATCATTTTTATCTTCTTAATTTTTCAAAAACAAAAACAATGTAAAAAAACGTATGTAGAATTCTGGCAAGAATTATTTGCACCAGGGCTTTTGTTATCTCCCATTTTGTCGAATATGAACGGTTTTGTACTTTTCCTACATTTCTTTGACCCTCGGGAGACACATTGTTTTTATCAAAGCTGGGGCATGCACCTAGGATCCGTTTTAACAGACAATGTCGACAACGTCAGACTCCAAAATGACTTAGATTGTGCCGATCTGGGTGTAAAATATTTAAACATACTACATACTGTCAAATTTTTACCTTCATTAGATAATATCAACTCTTTCCTTGTCTTCCCACAGAGATGAGCTAAACAGCAACGTCCATGTGGTGGCTGTGATGAACGACAAGTCGGACTCCTACCTCATCGACAGGTCCATGGACATCAGCGTAGAGCGTGCTTCCCGCAAGATGGGCGTGTCTCACACTCAGAAGCTGTCCGACGCCCAACTGCACAGCACCGGAAAGTTCTACTGGGACTCTGGCGATGAGGACCAAGTGTCCTACGACTTGACCATGACCGACAGCAGCCGTCGCAGCAAAGCCATCTCTGAGGCCAGCCTTAAGCTGGGACTTCCCTCTAGAACGTTGGAATGGGCCGGATCTCTGAGGTACCTTTCAGAAACAAAAGAAAAAAGAATTTATTTGTCCTCATTAGGTAGAAATATACCAAATTTAAAACGCATGTTATAATGTGAAAAAATAGATCAAATCAATCAAAAGCAAAGTGTAGGTAAAAATCCATTAGACATTTTTAGGCTATAAACAGAGAAGAAAAACCGCCGTAATAACTCGGGTGACATAATTCTTTTTTCCCCGTGATATTGGATGGAACAATTTTTTAAACTACAACAACAATGACAAGAAATACATGTTTTGAAAAAAGATATTATATAAAGACTTTCTAAATACCACGTCATATACTCTCCTTCTTTTAAGTAACACTAAGAGAATACCGTCGCTGCTGCAACCAATCCACAGAAGTCCGAATTTTGAGAATATTCAATTTTTTCACCCTCCCAAAACTATAAAAACAATTCATTTCAACATCACCTTGATGCAGTTTAAAACTATGGTTAAGGCTTACATTTTTCTTGCTTTTCATGTTTCCCGATAGGAACAACTTCACACAAACTAGAATTTTTGTCTCTGGTGTAAAGAGTACCCAAACACACATAAGTGGAATGCTTGCGACACAGACAGTACTCACTTAGAAGGTGTACCACAAACAAAAAAATACTCACCCATGCTAACTCGTGTGCTGATTTTCTTCCAGTGACAGCCCAGCAGCTAAAACCGCTGACGCCACATTCAACTGGGACGCAGGACGCGATGACAGCAAACAGGTTGGCCTCAAGGCCACTATGACCAGAGGAAAATCTCTCCGTGGTGACGTCACTCTAAGCATGCCATACATCAGAAAGGTAAGTCATGCTCGCTTGTCAATTTCTGTACACCGAACCACCTTTGCTCAATAACAGAAGTACACCCTGGCATACGTGCTTATAATATTCTTTCAAGCAGTTTGAATGGAAGATAATTCTTGCGGGAGGTTAGAGGGTACCTTTTTACTTTCCCTAAGTTGTTTATGTCTGTCCGTCTCACTTTTTCCCAGCCCTAATGGCCATTATTGTGTTGATGCGCTCCTTACCCAAGCACAATAAAAACAACCAACAAATAAACAAAGAAAACCAAACCCACCAACCAAACAAACAAACAAGCAAACAGAAAAACAAACAAGAAAGCAAAGCAACGACTTTTCTCTTTTTCACGAAGTGCTGTTTATTTCTCTTCAGTTTTTAAGTCAATGGAGACATTTATATAAAGTTGAATGGTATTTTTATTTCGAGGTTTTCACGCGTTTTAATTCCACATAATATCTTGGTTAAGAAATATACAACTGTATCAGCCTGGTATTTAAACCCTCTAAGTGAACAGCACACAATGACTCTTGCTCAAAGTAACCACTAGTGATGACATACAAAATAATAATACTCTGTAAATAGATATTGTCAGTATTGATGTGACATTGTACATTATTTTACGTAGATGAATTAATGCACGCACGTATTCTGGTATGTTTCCTTGCATGTAATCTATAGAAAATCATAAAATATTTTACGGGGATTAATGAAAGTATTTTAAAAAAAAATTTCATTTGTTGATCTTCTTTCGTTATTTACAGGAAATCCGTGTGGACGGAGAACTCATGCTGAAGAACGGTCGCATTATCCTGGACTCCAAGACCGACATCTCCTACTCCAGCGACGCCCGCAAGACCTTGACCCTGACTTCCAAGGTACAGGACATCTCTGACTACTACAGCAACTTCAACTACAGCGTGGAGTTGGGCCTGAGCCACCCGTACACCAACATCGACCTCAAGATGAACTCGCACCTGGGCAGTTCTGACGAGCGCATGACCGCTGGCCTGGATACCAGTTACCTGACCGCCAGCAAACAGACCAAGAACCTGGCAATGCTTGCTGAGATTAACAAAATCAAGAAACAGATCAGTCTGCAGGTAATAGCTTTCATTTGATACATTTTTTGCCCGCCAAGGGCGCCGCCTGTGTATGCCACTTCTGTGAGAATAATCAATACTTTTACAGCTGAGGTGGGTTTCCTTAATTAAATAAAGATATTTTACTCTTTCTTTTTTTACTATTTACTTGCCACCGGTAACATGTAGAGTATCGGTAGTCAGCGAGCTAAATCCTTATTTTTGGCCGTTAATAGTTATAATAGATAATGAACATGAAAAGAAAAATCCACCCAACAAAAGGAGAAGACTGGATCGGAATACCCACAAACCTCCCTCAGACAGACAACCCCTTTGAAATATTGTAGCATAATGTCATACACGGTATTCCGTCTAAGTCGTACATAAAAGCCGTTAGTTCAGTTCCTTTGTGGAGACTTTTTTCCACAGAATATCTCCATCTTTCTACAGGGACGTTATTTTCTTCTCAGCCCGTGTTGGCTCTGACAGATAGGATCAAGGCAGAACACGTCTTAGATGAAATAAATTATGTTGATTGTTCGTTGGGGGAGGGGGGGGGTCCACAACGCCTACAAATATTGTCAATCCTTACTCCATCCACAGATGTTCAGCCCCATGAACAATATCCAGATTGTGGGTGATGTTGTGAGCACCAGCCCATCCAAGCTGAGACTGTTGAACAGGATGAACGGTGAGGAGACCTTCCGCTCCGACCTCACCCTGGACTCTGACAAGCAGATGGCCGAGATCAGCGCCATCATGGGCTCCGGTAGGTCACGGCATGAGCCCTATCTTGTATTGATTGACAATTGTCAATTTTTGGGGAGTTTTTATAACGGCTTAAGATGATTTTTGGGGGGGTCTAAATTTATGGTCATTCTGATTTACTTTAAGTCCGACTTATGGGGGAGGAGGGGGGTGGGTGGAGGGGGGGGGGGTAGTCATGACTTATGTTGATTTTTTTCTTTTCTAAATTCAGTATCGTGGTAATAGACTAGAAGTCCGACTTTTGAAAAGCTTTTTTATCACGGTTTTTGCTAAATTGTTTGCTCTCCTGAAATCATGTTTGTTTATATGAAGTCAGCAAACCAAATTACTACTAGATAGCTCTTAGAATGCCGTGTGGTACTGCACCCATTTCGATTGGGTCAAGTTCATAGAAATGGGCGCAATTATTTTAATCCATGTCTGACCTCGCAACTTTCTCTTTCTTCAGAGACATACAGCCTGACAGCCGTGTACCCCAACAGCACCGCTTTCAACGCCTTCATTTCGCACTCCACCCCCGACGTTCGCCACAAGGAGGCGCTTCTTGCTGTCCGACTCAACACGACACGCCTCCTGCACAGCCGCTTGGCATGGCGCCCAGACATGTGGGCGGAGCTTACTTCCGGACTTGAGGGGAAGGCAACGCGTGCCGGCATCAGGGCCGCTGAAAACTGGGCTTTGCTCAACGCTGCTGTTGCTGATGAGGTGAATATTATAACTGTTGTGTCTATTTTGGGCTGTTTCTGACATTTAATTAGCTTTTGCTCTCTTCACCTTACCCCCCCCTCTCTCTCTCTGTCTGTCTGTCTGTCTGTCTGTCTGTCTGTCTGTCTGTCTGTCTGTCTGTCTGTCTGTCTGTCTTTCTCTCTCTCTCTCTCTCTCTCTCTCTCTCTCTCTCTCTCTCTCTCTCTCTCTCTCTCTCTCTCTCTTTCTCTTTGTGTGCATAATTGTGTTTGCTATTTTGGATTGTGGCACCAATATTTCAGCGGTGCCCATTGTACCTGGAGGAATGTTATATTCACTATAAATAAAAGCTATTTTTGTTCATGGCTTCAGTTCGCTGCCAAATATGGTGCTGTGTCGAGCTCTGTAAAAGAAGAACTCAGCCCCCTGATCGACATGTTGGAGCGAGAACTGAACCGTATGGCCTACAGAATGAATGACATGTCACGGGATCTCAGTGCTATCTACCAGCGCAACGACTTCTACGCACAAGACATGGGTGTGGTCTACACCACAATGCAGTAAGTCACTGAAATCAATTGTCGAAAACAAAATTATAATTACTACATTGATGATTTTATGACTGCTCCATTTTCTTTATCCTGTGTCCATTTTTATCTCGTTCTGGTTCTGAAGAAGTCTTTTGGTTAGACTATTTGATTTGTTAATAAATGTAGTGTTCTTTTGCTATTCATGATTTGGGGGAAAAGTTTGAAGGGTTATAAAATGTAGGCAAAGACCTTAGAATCAAGTGACTATTTTACGAAGACTTTTTGTTTACAGGGGCATGAATCATAGCTTCCTCTTTTCTAAGAGTCATGATGTTGAAATACCGGTAACTACCGTAAGTGGATAGATCTGGTTGTAAATGTCTCAAGTCAACGCAAGCAAAAAATAAATCATTTCGGAGGCGGGCTATCCAGCCCTGCCGATTAAAGCCAATCCTGAGTGGTATACAATATCTCATTTGACAAAAGGATGTACGTGTACTTGATAAAATAACTACTTCAGGCCCGAATTGAACCCACATCATATCTCTGCTACTGCAAAGAGCGTAACAATTGCGCCACTGACATCAGTGCAAGCAAGTCGTAGCATCATGTTTTGTACCTAAGTAGTTCCTGAATATGGGTCATGTACACTGAATAATGGCTGTGACTAGTGTGAGTCTATACTGGGATGGAAAGTATTACAGTTATATAGATTACAGGTTACAAAGATCAACGAGAAGAAAATCAGGAAGGAGGTCATATTATGCTAAAATTGGAAGAAAATATAAGGATGTAATCTGAAT